AGGGGTCGAAACATATTGGTGTGGAAATAGATAGAGAAATATGCGACTTTGAGTTATTATTTTTTTGGATAATGCAGATTTCGTTACGAGTGGCTTTTGCTTGACCATAAGGTGTCAGACATGTAGTTTGAAAAAATAACTGAATCAATCTTCACCACGGAGAGCATTCATCGTCCTCATTCATCAAACAAAAATTGCTCTAAATTTTGAAACACGAATTTCTTCCTCTGAATCATTTTCAGATGAATAATGCTCATCGTCTTCGAATGTATGCGTCCACTTTTTTAGAGCAGCGAAACCGAAAGTGAATTGAATTTTTTGAATGCTGTTGATAGTGAGGATGACATTAGAGCGAGTAAATCAATTCCTTTAACGACTCATATAAAATGCTTTCTGCTTAATCATCAGACTGAACGGATGAAATAAAATGAACAACTCTTCAGCCAAAAAAAAATGCACTTTCCCTCAATGACCACAATCAAAGGTTTATTTTTAGATGGTCAGACCACTAATTTCACTGCATTCACAAAGCGCATAAAATCCTTATTGACTAGGATCAATTTGTTAAAGTGGCACAACTCATTCTATTCAATATTATTCGTCGTTTTTTGTTTTGCCCTTAAGTCATCTCAAATCCATCGGCTTCTGCTCCCCTCTTTTCTTTTATCTACTTCCGTTCCAATCCAAATCTCACTCGACGTTAATCGTTCATCGACGATTTTTTTATTTGAGTCAATAAATTTTTATTTGTTTACTTCTTGTTCTTTTCTTCGCTCGCAAACGATCAAAATGAATGAATATGGATTCGCTCAACGTCAGCTTTGTATATTCATTTCGTTCAATTTATGACATTTCACTTACATAACTATGCGAGTTATGTAAATCAATTATCTAATTATATGGTAATGCTGAAAAATAACTCATTATTACTGCCATAACAATATCTTTGATTCACGATCAATCATTACTCATTTATTCGCACAGAGGTTATTTTGCTGAATATTCAAAATCACCGTTATATTCTATTTTCTTTTCGATTTTCAATGAACCGGAATTCCAAACAATAACCACTTTTCACGCCGACTCGCTTTACCGATCTCTTGAAAATGATCCACAACGGTGCATCCGATCATTGCAGCCAGTCGTCGCGTCGTCTGATACGGATCGTAGTCGATGGACTCGTTCGGCNNNTTCCATGCTCATCGTCTTCGAAGCTCTTATCTGCACATCGTGAACCGTTCCTTGTTTGAACGCGTTAATTTGTAGATGTGCGCTCGATACTCTTGCTCATTGAGCTCTAAGCCCTACGCTCCTCTTTTTAAACTAGCCGGTTGTTGCACATCAACAGAGGCCATTGAAAATGCCCTTTGAAATGTGTGCGCACACATGGCAAGCAAATAAACCTATTAAGGCATAAAAAATTGAGGAACAAAGAGAGCGCGTATGCCCGACCGAATGCATGATTTCATTTACTAGTTTTTATTCGTTGAGAAACGTTTATTTTCGTTAGAATATTGCTATATTAAGAAGAACGAATTGATAAGAATATTTCATGAAATGTCTTTACAATTATTCACTCATTCTTCATATATCTTTTTCTTTTTTATGTTCACACTTTTATGTTCACAGGTCTTCTCTAAGCATGTCGGTTTGTTTTGTTCAATTGAGTGCATAGAAACTCTCATTAAGAGATCCACGCCGTACATCATTTGAAGATTCAGCTGACGGTCTGAAAGTAATAAC